TACAAATGGTATTTAGTGGATCTCTTCTCAGTATTATCCATCCTTCTCTTCCATGTCTTCACAATCGATGGAAAGACTGTCACTGATTTTCATCAGATTTTTTCTCTCACAATCACTATTTCCTTACACTCCTACAAATCCAAGCATCTTGCATCTTAAACACCCCTCCCTTCTTGTATTTCTCCTGCCTCTATCTGCTCCTCTTCTCAAAGTTTATTCTTCTATCGCATTTTTACATCACTCTTATCACATTAACTTGTAAGGTTGTCTCCAAGAAATTAACTGCCTCAAGGCAGATCTTTCTGCTTTCTCCTAATGCTTAATCTCTGATCATATCTTGGTTTTATAATCCCTATTAAGCCTGTTATTAGCTTTTGCTTTTATTACTCCTATAATCATGAAACACAATATGTTGGACTTTGCTCTTGTATAACAGTTGGCCATTCTAAAAATATCAGGTCTGTGGCTTTTTACATTCTCTTCATTTAATGCTTTTTCAGCCACTATAACATTAGTAACAAGATAAGTACTTTATGCTTATGAACTTCTTGCAGCAAGAACAGAGAGAAACACACACCTTCCCACATCCTAAATATTTCTGCTAATACACATCCCTTTGCCTTTTCCACCATGTGGGAGGGCAGGCAGTTCCACAAGAAGCCACATGAGGAGCAGAAGTTGTGGCAATACCTGGGAAGTGTGTTTAAAAGAAAGAGTAATTAAGTGTTCAAGTTCTATTCAGCTGATGGGAAATTCAGACCATAAAATGTTGTTTCTTTGAAAATCTTGTCTCTGCTTTACCCTTGACAAATGGAACCCCAACACACAGAGGTATTTGCCAATGGCCTCACTGCCCTTGGGATTAAGACATGGATAACAGCACCCAATCCCAGGGCTGGCAGCTCCCACAGCTGGCTGCTGAAGCACCACCCAAGCACAGCAATACACACAATCCCTGTCAGCCACCTGCACAGCACCGAGCACACTGTGGGACAAGGAACAAGTCCCCAGTGCCAGAGAGGACGCAGGGTCAGAGCTCACCTGTGTGAGCAAATGCATCTCAGATGCTTAGATAATCCAGGAAGTGAAAGAATCATCCTTTTGCTATCAAACCTCAGAACACTCCTCTGATGTATATTCTGTTCCACATATAGGAGAGGTGAATCTCTGTGTAACCATGAACTGTCAAAGCTAAAGGAAATATGAGCAGGGCACTGACTTGTGAGTGCCCACCTGTCCAGCAGGAAACCCATCCCATAGATCATTGGTGCCTGCTGGATCCAGAGCAGGAAGCAGTGCCACTGTGGGAGGAAGATGACCAAGCCTCACTGAAGCCCAAAACTGAAAGTACTGGGATATGTGCTATGTATTACTGGAGGTGCAGACCTATAGTTAGTGAGACTGGTCAGATTCCAACCATTTCTGATCCAACAGAAATCTTCCCTACCTCCATTTCCCGTATCTGTCCCCATACATGACCCCTGTCCCTCTCGAGATGGGCTTTTCGAAAGCCAAGCCCTCAGTAGGCCCTACACAAGCAACTGGAACACCTCACTGGGACCTGGGAGTGTGGGCACAGACAGCATTTGTTACTCTGCCTGGTGATCCACCTGCCTGAAGTGCCAGTGGCCACATCCACTGCAGAACTGCCTCTCCTCTTCCTCACATTTTTAGTTAAGGGTATTTTACTTTCACTTTGAATAGAAAGTAAAATTTAAAAATAGAATCCAGAAGGATGCATGGAGTTTGTACAGCAAGATGGTAGACTGAGCACATGAAAAATGAGACCACACAAAGGCACAAAAAGAAAAAGCAAGAGAAAAAGTCTCAAAATGATAAGGAAGGGCATCTACCAATAAGACAATACGATTGAGCAGCCCAAGCAGAAAGCAGTGATGACAGCGATTGCTGATGCTGCAGAGCGGGACTGGCCCACATTAGGTTAAGTAACCTGGAGACCAGCCAGCATCATTGAACAAATGGCACAGCACATTCCACAGAAATCTGAGGAGAGATTACCAATATCTTAAAGGTGACCTTTCACACATGCTATCCCAGCAAATCAGGCAATTCTCCTGGCTGTAATGGACGAGATCAGCAGAGGCCAGTCTCCTGAAGTTATGCACTCTTCATACAAATAGGATTTTTATTTTTAAATTTAATATCAATTGACTGCACCTCATTTGAGCAAAGTACCCTAAGTGCTTTATTGGTTTGTTTCACCTCTTCTCCATTTTAAAGAAAACATAATCTAACTTTCCATTATTCATTATCATCCAGGCAGGAAGCAAGACAAAAAAAGAACCCTAATTTTTAGCCATACTGCCTATTAAAAATGTAAAATGTTTCCTAAAAGGGTAGGTACATCAATTAGGCTGCCTCAGGATAAATGAAAATTACTAAGAGTGCTCTGCTTTCCTGGATGAGTTTTCCATAGATTATTTATAATTGAATGAAACCAATTACAGCATTTGTAATGGAAACTGTATGTAAGTTAAACATCTCTGCTTTTGCAGAAGCTGAAGAGCACACTGCATGGATCGAGAAAGATCTCCACATATTTTTGAAGGGAAAAGAGAAATTATCTTTTCTAGGGGAAAAAAAATAATCCTATAAGTGAAACAAACAGGAAACACAAATCAAATGGCCCCAGTGTCACTGAGAGTCCAAGCCTGGATTCTGAGAAACCATCTCCAGCCGGATATCCTGAAGCTGAGGACTCAACTCTTTTCCGTTTCTTCAGAGAGGGAAATACAGCTTAATTAGGCTCAATTTTCTAAATAATGTTTATCCTCTGTAACTAATCAGGAAAACTTTAAATCAGTGTCAGATTAATGCTTGTTCAAATAGTGAAACATGCTCTATCTTCCAAATACAGTCTTACCCTGCTGACAATTGAAAGGGCTGAGGGTAACGCACACTGGCACAGTTTTTATCGTAAAACAGAAAACATCTTTGCCATCCTACTGAGCAGTCCCTAAAACAACACACATTTTGCTCATGGAGATTTCACCAATGAGACAAGATAAAAGATAATTTCGGGGAAAAAAGAATTAATGAAGTTTCAAACACAACAGCGCATTCTGAATTCATTCTGAATGAAAGAAGGAAAATGTTTAAACATACTGCTAGGGAATGGAAAAAGTCCCAAATAAAATTAATTGAATCATCATTAAAGAGAATCCTGAGCCTGAAAGATGCTTCAGAGAGAATTCTACTTCCAAGTCACCTGAGAGCAATACACTCGTTGAGTTCATCCACCATTATCCAATATTCACCTGGATTACAAATTTTACCCCTCAGTAAGCTAAACAAGTGCATGTGAACTATGAGGCTGACAAATGCAATGCAGAGTTATACTTTAGCATCAGATATCACAACAAATATGTCAGACCACTTTTGCTGCTAGTAGTCAGAAAGCTGAACTTGATTCCTAATTACTCCTGTGTAATCTGCAATGAAGCTGTGGAATGATATGAGATATCCATCTATAGTCATAAAAAATCAATATACAGTAATAATGTACTCTGATTTTTAGTTCCTCTCTAGACTCATATAAAAACAACTTATGAGTGAAAATAAGGGCAGATGCCTGAACACTGTTCATTACATGTTCTAAGTTTTACACTGCCCTAACAGATACATGGTGACACTACTAGACATTATCACCATGAAGACCGGCAATGCAAGCAGGCTCCAATGCCTGCTGTGCATTATTCAAGAACCTGGAAAAATCTTTTCTTAGAAATTTTTTGTATTTATCTCTGGATGTCAGATAAACCAGCAGACACGAGTGTCATTCATGAAAAGGAAAGGACAACTGAAGCAACATAAACAGAGCAATATCCAGTGAAATTTTATCAGATTACTGGAAGTGGTTGAGGTTTTTTATAATCTACATATTGTACTGATCATAAATCTCTGGGCTCAGTCAAGTGTTCTACAGTAGACAGCTGCAATATTAGGGATCTTGGAAGGTTGCAAGCACACAAGCATTTTTCCCCTATAAAAACACTTCCCTAGTTTAGAATACCCTCTGCCACAGCTTCTTTCTGTAGACCCTCTAGACTGTTTTTTCTCTTATGTGAATATGATGACCAGAGTTCTGCATAGTAATTAAATTTTTTTATTTGTGCATTTTCTTCTTATTTGTTCTCTGCAAGAATTCCTTTATTTCCAAGACAGGCAAACCCGTCTGCATTTCTAAGATTAGTCTTTACCCTGCTTAAGGCCGCACTGCTACATTTTTTTTTCCATTTACAGTTGTGTTGAACTTCATACCAGATGTAGTCAGCTGCATCATTAGTCATTTCAGTCATTTCTGGTCTAATCTTCAACACCTTGAGAGAACACCTGCCCATCATATGCTGCAATTATTATGTGACAGTTCCACCATCCTAGTTCTTTCTTCTTTTATCTACACCACTTACAAAACTGGATCTGCTTTAAGTGCATTTTTATCCTTTACTTACATAAAGGCTGTCAAATAAGTTTGAATTTTTTCATGCTCTTTTCCCAGCCTCTGTAGGATGGGTGTACTTATTATAGACCTGTACTACCTTCCTGATGTCTCAGTCAACACAAAAGTAAAGGGACTGTAAAACTGTGAAAGTTAATTTCTTTGCTTTTATTTAGAAACTTGCTTTTCTAGACCCTTAGAGCAATTCCTGAAGAATGTCCCCACATGCCAGGGAAACACTTACTCGTTATCAAGTATAACAGACCCCAAATTTTTGCTTAGAAAACTGTGCAGCCAAGGCAGAGCTCTATGCTTTACAGTGTTGCTTCTCAAGAAACAAACTCCCCCCCAACCCTCTCATTTCGGAGCAGACCCTACTGAACCCCATGACAATTGCCTGTAATGTTCTCATGTACTATTAAACAAAGATCTAGTTGAAGACTAAAAATTGACGCAAAGACAACACCAACTCGTTTAAATGTTTATCCACCAAATAAGGAAACTGATAAATGGGAGTAGCAAATAATTAGAGAGCACTTACTGTGGCGGAGAGCTGCGGCCCATTGAGCTGTGCGTGCAGGATGGCTTCATTGATGGAGTTCCACATTCCCGACAGTGCAATTTCCAGATCATGCGAGGCAGCCATTTCATTAGTGAGATATTCCAGCGTGGAGATGTACTCCCTCCATTGTGCATCCAGCTCTGACACGCTGGCCAGGCAGCCCCTCATTACATTCAGACAGTAGCCGACGCAGGGTCTGATGAGCGTCAGGCCCTGGCAGTGCGGGCAGTACTGCATCTTCACCAGGGCTCTGCTGCACTCCTTCGTCAGAGCCGCGTGTTCAGTAGTATTTATCACTTCAATGCCCAGGCTCAGGGCCTGGCTGAGCATCCGACTGGCCCAAAGAGATTTTGACAGCTCTGTAACCATGTTTTTAGAATAGTGTCCAAAAGGATTTATGTCTTGCCTTGTGAGACGCAGACACTCTGTATAGTCCTCTGATAGATCTGTAATTCCTGGGTTTATTAGCCGACTATACACCAGAGGAAAGAGACTGTCAAAGAACCGCAATACTGCACTTTCCACTGTAGTCTCTGCGCCCAGAATGTAGAGAGAGATGTCTGTAAAAAGCTCCTTAACAGGCTCTGCTGCTTCTTTTGCCATGGGTCTGTAAGCTGTCTCAAACAGGGAGCTTGTGCGGTTTTCAGCAAAGCGAAGCAAAGACTCAAAGGCCTCTAAAACAGGGGCAGAGGAGAGAAAGAATTAGAGGTTAACAGCAGGCACTATCTCAGTCACAGGACTAACACTGTCCTGAACAGGAACACCAACAGTTACATGGAATCTGCAATATGATTACAGTAATACAGTTTTCACCAGTAACGTGATTAGAAAGACACCTAAATAATACCTGTGCATAATAAATAAAGGTAACATGTAACACACAATTATTTTCTTTTAAAAAGATGACTCTCTTCTCCCTAGCTAGACCCTGACCCAAACTCGATAGTCAAGGAAGGACTCACACAGACTCCTGTGAGCACAAGCTTTTGGAACTGACATTGCATTTGAGCATTCAACTGGGTATATTTCCAAAATATCCCTTTAGCTCAATGAGAGATTGTGACATAAATGAATACAAAAAGAAGCTGAAGCTTTTGTTTCACAGTTCTGTGAGTATGTGGCTTGAGAGGCACTTCTTGCAAAGTACAACTCCAGGATGAAGGAAAAAATGCTGTGTAAATAAATTCTCTCCCCATTAACACTGGCCAGATCTGGAGACCAGCCAGTGGTTGGGCAGGACTTGACATCAAGTCTGCTGTGACCCAAAACCAAAAAAGAAATAATAAAGTCAGAAAAATCCTATCTCCTTTAACCATACCATTTTCAAAAGTGAAGAAAAAATAATGTTTAAGAAGTTCCACAGTTAACACATTTCAAAATGCATATGGCAAATATTATACACTCAAACCACTGACTGAGGCGCTACAATCCATGGACAGGGTAAGGAAGCGATCAGTTCCCCAGATTATTTTTAATGACACAGAAGATAGCAATCCACACCATTCCCACTGCTTTCTTTGGAAGCTCTCCAACAAAAAGCCTCTGACATAAATCATTCTTGCACTCCTCTAGGTGGCAAGTAGTTCCAGTCAAGGCAGGAGACCTGTCACATTATACCTCCTGAGGACTGGCCAGATAATGGGGTTTTTGGTCTAATCCTACTCTACATTCATACGAACATCACCATGTGATTCACTGCACTGCAGCACAAACCCAAGTCACTCACAGATCAGCCCAACAAAGGAGCAGATACAATAATGTAAGTCAAGATTAGCACATGATGGCAAAGTTCTGCAGCAAAGCCTGCTCGGTGCCTTCCCCTATGACATCTCCCTGAACAACTCACTCGCTTGGTATGATAAGCATTACAGTCCCTTTTACCACAAAGTGTGGTTTAACTTAAGAGATATTACAGCATATCTCATTGCATATTAAATCATCAGTATTTTGCACACGCGCACTGCATTCTTCTGCCAGAAAAATCACTTCAATATTCCCACTAGTATTACAGCAACTAATACTCTGGAAGTGCTTATAAAATCCTAGAAATTAAGAATCCACATACACTTCAATTGAAAAAGATGACAGTTTATTCTTGGGCAGAGAAACACCTTGCCAAGTTTCAGCCTGAAGCACTTTTATAGCTGGTAACAATTCTGAAAATTAGATTTATGATGGAAATCTTGACACAAACTGTAGAGCAGGTTGTTCTGTGCTACCAAACACTATTGGAAGTTTTTCTCTTTGTCACATCACCTCTGTGTGTATTTTTATTTCTAGAGGAAAACTAAACGTAATTTTTATCATACAAAAAACTCAAAAAGAAATATTTAAAACATGAAAACAGTGCTTTAAGTTTCCCCCCTACACACAATCCCTTACAGCTTATCATTAAATTATGGGAGTAGGGACTGTCATCTACAATGCCAACAGTCCTGTGCTGTTCCTTTACCTTCCACATCCACAAAGGCAGAACTGCAGACATCACTCTCCTTTCCTGAAAACTAAACAAAATTCATTTATGAATGTGCAAGTACCCTTATTTTCCTGAGAAATGACAGCCCCAGCGAAAGATGAGAATAAAACAACCAATGACAACACACATCCCAAGAAAACAGACCTCAGCAGATTCCTGGGATACTGGTTGTAGACTAGAAATCATGCTGCATTTTATTTTCAAGCCCCTTGACCATGAAAATCCTATATTCAATTAAATGAAATTCTGTGTTATTCTGAGACAAGTAGGAATGTAATTTTTCATTGTATAAGGGGAAACTGTAATGGCATGTAGCTTCATTCCTCCTGCAAAAAGAGCCCTAATGCTAAAAATACAGCCCAAAAATATTGCTGGTGATTGTAGATGTGCTGCAAACACCTGTAAGGTATCGTTTGCCTCCTTATCACCATGGCTGAGACACAAAAATGACTCACGACTGCAGTCAGTGATGTTCCAGAAAGAAATATACAGGTCTTTTTTCATTGTTAAGGCATTAAGAGATGTTTGAGACAATCGAATTACTGTTCTTAGACCTTTAAATTAGAAATAATGGGGCATCACACAGTCAAATGGCTTGGCAACAATGGACAGTTTGCGTTCTGGCTGTACAGAGCAGGTAGCTGCTATAGTGATTAATTATGTGCTTTTAGTGCACCTTGTATGGTACTTTGTGTGAAGTTTCTAAATCCCAAGGAAGATTTACCACTGTCCACAAGATCAGCTGCTCATCTGTGCAGTCAAATACAGCAAACTTCAAACAGTTAGGAGCTCACAAAAAGCTGATTTCTAAGCCTAAAGATACACTGAGAGAATAATTTGATCATCTTTCACTGCCCTTGACACGAGTTCCCCAGCAGCACTGAATAAATTGCAAATATATTGATTCTGAGCAGAAATAAGCCTTAATCAAAATAACCCAACACTTGATGAAGACGTTACGTATATTTCTGCCTTCCACTAGTATTAAAATAAATAGGAATATGGAGAATAAGGTTTGTTCTCACGTTCCTCAGAAGCTCCTTTTTGATTTAAGACTACAGGGAAAGTGAAACAACAGCCAGATTCAGATTTTGAACTCACACACTGGTAACTCTTTAATGAAAGTCAGGCAACACCACCTTCCACGGGGAGAATTTTGTTGAAACCATTTATTATGCGCTCACCAAACACTAGATGCCACCACTGATGTGCCTGGACAACTCAAAACACAGCTGACCAAACACAGTTCACCTCTGGAAACTTCCCATTGCACCGCTGGGGTTACGGAATGAGTTTCTGGAGAGGAGCCCTGTTCTGAGGAGATGCCACGCTGGGTTTGCTGCTCCAGCAGCAGCACAGGACCTGCCAGGCCAAGCAGCCAACCAGTTCTTATGTTGGGCCTCCAGCCTAGGTCCTACCTCTCACATACACTAAAAATTGCATTATGCTCAGTCTAGCACACACAGATTGGAAAACATTGTTTTGCATGTACAGCATTCCTGTTTATTCACCCTGAGCATGGCACAGCTCGGTTGGGAGCACTAGCTCCCTTCTGACAAAAATACAGCCATCCTGACACACAAGATGTTGTCCTTCTCTTCAGCCAGCCACCAGCTTCATATGCCTCATGCAATAAAAATCACAAAGGATTCCTGACTTACCTCACACCAGCTTTTGCATCAGTGTAACACCGCTGACTTCAGTGGGATTTAATCCTGATTTAAACGCATTGCATGTCACAAAAAGCTGCAGAATTTTAGTGTTTCTGCTAAAGAATAGTGCTACTATTCTTTAGAATAGTAGAGAGAAACAGATGGAGGGAGAAACAGATGGAGGAGGTTAGGTATCACTCTGCCCAGTGCTGGCGTACCAGCATTTTCCAAATATCTCCTCTATTTTTTCACCACCCGGAGATCTATTTGTGGAAGAACAAGTAGATTTTAAGTAGCAGTACAGGCACTATAGCTGTGACTCATTCCTCACATCACATAAACACTACATCCACTGACTTACTTTACCTTCCTTCAGCAGGAATAGCTGCCTGTGCTTTTAAATTGCTGTCACCTCCATGTGAGTCCAGTCTGATGCAAGGGCTCTCTGAGTTTGTGTCCAGGCCACCACTTCTTCTCCTGCAGCCTTATCCTCAGAACGAGAATCAAAGATGCACAACTGCCATGCATCAATTTGCCACTCTTTCAGCCACAAAAATCTCTCTGAGTGTATTCCAAGGAGCTGTTTATTTTGCTAGGCTCCTGGACAAACAGCAACATAACCTCAAGAAGAGATCTGAAGAGAAGATCTGCTGAACAGCGAGGTGACACACGTGGCAGCGCCAGAGCCTGCATTCAGGACTGCCTTCATCTCATAAAACCTGGTTTACTCACAGTGCATGGCAGGCAGCAGATGTGGTCTCAGGGAACACACTTGGATAGAAGTTTTCCAAGAAAATCTGGATTGATATAATATAGCCATGCATGGAGAAAGCTCATTTGCTTCCCTCCCTCATACAAGCCCTTCGCAAGCTATTGAGATCCATGTTCTGCAAGCAGCTGTAGGGTTCAGATGGAGAGCATTAGGCAAGGTTAAGCAACTTTCAACTCGCTGGATTATGAATCTGTTCAAACCCATATTCTTTTCTTTCCACAGGTCCAACACAGGAATATTTAGCATGGAAACCATTTTCCCAAAACCAAGTCAACCTAAACACCAGAGACCTCTGTGCGCAGAGAACCATTTCTGCCCCACATCAGTTGAGGTTGAGAGAGAGCAGATCTCATGTTTGGAACCCCACATCTTCAATGACCAAAGTCCTAAAACTCAGTGCAAACCACGCCAGGCCTGGGTGACAGGGAAGTTACTGTCACTGTCATCACACTTCTGGGTGCAGCTCAAAGCTGCCACCTTGCCCACAGAGCTGACCTGGTAAGACCACCCTGATAATGCAGCAGCCCTCCACTACATTAATGTTTCCTTACACTCTGCAATAATTGACAGCCTGATGGGCTTAAATTTAAAAAATCCACAAATTCCTTAAAAAAAAAAACAACATTATATTATAAACATTACTGAAAAGTTTTAACAATACTCACGAAACTATCTATACAGAACCTATACAGAAATAACATCTGTGTACATTGAGTGTAATCACAAAAGAAGAATGAGACATTTAAGTAGCTCCATTATTTGCTTGCTCTCTTA